CCGTCGGGCGGGGTCCCAGAGGGGGGGGGGGGGCCCGGGGGCGGCAGGATGCGGCTGCGGCCGCCGGTGTGGACGCGGGGGTGGGTACAGGCGTGTGTGTTAATATTAAGGGGAGAAGAAAAAAAAAAAAAAAAAAAAAAAAAGCCCTGGGGGGAAAAAATGCACGCTATCGTCAAGTTCTCCTTAAAATTCAGAGCGGGCGCGGGTGGGGAGGCGGCGGTGCGTGGGGCTGACGGTCGTGAGTGTGCCCTGCAGGGCGGGAGGTGGAGGCTCAGTGCGCCCTGCAGCTGCGCAGGATCGGCGACAAGTGGGACCTGCGGCAGAAGTTCCTGAACCTCCTCACGAAGCTATTCTTCCCGGAGACGTGAGCTCCCCTCGGACGCGGTGCGCTGAAAAAGCAGGGAAAGACCTTGGCTTTGTGGATTTGGGACAAGAGACTTCACTGACAGTGGGAGATGGAGAAAGCTCTTTGCCTTGTGTTTTGCTGCCCGGAGCCGCTGAAGGATGGCTGTCGCAACGCGGTTTCTTCGAAGAATGTTACGGCGATGTTGGCGTCTGAAAGCCAGGTGAAAAAAACCACAGGTAGCGACGGGCAGAGGCCCTCACCACGCGATGGGGAGACTTGAGGCAAGATGGAACTTGCCCGTCAGCCTGGTCTAAGACTTCCAGCAGCCCCGTTTCCCCAGTCACCCTCTGGTCCTGTTTCACCGAGGACCACCTTCGGGAAGAAGCCAAAAAAAAGTCAGTGTCTTGGAACACGGGATCGTATCCCGCAAGGCAAAAGCCAGTTGCTCGGGTTCTGACTGTTTTTGTTTCCTGAAGCACGGATTCTGCTGGACAGGAATCTGGTGGTGGGATTATTTCATTTGTTAATTAAACCACTGTCTGTATTGAAAGGTTATTTGTTACAGGATGTTGCTTTGTGGACTAAAAATGACAATTCTATGTACTAACATGATACTGCATAGTTCTAGTCTATATTATATATATATATATGTATGTATCTGTGTATATATATATAATATATATAAAAAATATAAATACGTGCACCCCATGTGCATGAAATGAGTATTTCACAGAACTATTAATTGAATGCTACTTGTTAGGTTCAAAAATAGTATGAAAAAATGTTCAAAACATGACATAAAAATGCATTATATTAATTAGAAGAAAGCATAATGTTTCTGATAATAAAGGAAATACTTCATGCAACTGAGGGGAGCATACTTTAGTATAGCATTATATAAGACATATAAGAATATATATTACATAGATAGAGATATTGAGGTATGTGTGTTTGGTGGAAGGATTCTTTCAGCATTACAAAGAATTTCTTGAGAACGGTACAATACTGCTGTGCCTTTATAAGTAACAAAATAACTCTTCAATAGAAGTAGACCTTAAAGTTGAATGTGAGTTGAATCTTAAGTTTTCTTGAGAAAGTTATTTATTCAAAGAAAGCAACTACCTCTCTTTGAAGAAATAATATCAATAGAACTTAATGTTATGATCAGTACAGGAAAGTAGCCTTGGACTTCTGAATGTTTAATATACTCACAAGCAAAGGTTCTTCCCTTGTACTTTATTTCCATTTCATTTCACAGCAACCTCATTTCAGTTCCAGAATGATAAAGCCGCTGTAGCACATCCAGTGGATGGTGATGCATTATGCCTATCTCACTGAGGGGTTATTACCCTTGGCTGGCTTTGGATGAGCTGAATTAAGCATGCTGATTGCTGTCAAGGCAAACAGTAACTCTGCTAGTCAATTCATGTCAGACATGATCCTAAACAGTATTTTTTCATGGGTGCAAGCTAGCAAGAAAATGGCTGAAGCTGATTATGTTTTGTAGCTACTTCTTAGGTCAATGGTCAGAATTCCTTCTCTTAACTAAACTTGTATGTAAGTACATTTGCATTGTATAAGGCTGTATAATTCCACTTTCTGAACTCTGGGTCTGTTCAAATTAAATTTTTTGCTGCCTTGAATAGTGAATTCTTGTTTGTATTTACAATTAATTTTTTGGTTAGCTCTTCTGAATCTGCATTTGCAAAATTGTCGTGAAATAGCTCTGGTCACTCTGTCACAACCAACTGTATATGGCTGTTACTTGTTGTCACTGATTTCACTAGGCAGAAGCTGGCTGATTTTGCCTGCTTCCCACATGGAGGACTTTTAACCCCATCCCAGTGGCATTATTGGGAGCTTTGCCATTGGCTTGAGCCACATGCACGGTTCCTTCCCCTTCTAAGCCAGCTAATACCTTTTCAGTGAGAACATAATGTTTCAAGAATAGTTGTTATTCATCTTAACACTGCAAAGTAACGCGTTTTGCTGATGTGTGCAGAGGTCAGTTTTTCAGGTATTAAAAAGTAAATGCAAAGAGTTTCTGTTTGGCTAAACACCAGCTCCCAGGCTAGTGCCGCATGCAACTCGGCAAAGCCGCTCATCAAAGGCAGCCCCGACTTCAACAGGAGGGCTCTTGCTTTGTGGCCCGGGCTTGGTGGAGTCTTGGAGTTCTCATCAAGGACACTAAACGATAATTGTGCCTGTCTGGGACTCTCAGGAAAATTCAGCATTAGCATCTGCATTAGTAACTGAAAGGTATTTGAATAAAAGTGTTCTGCTCAATGTATGCTCCTTTGAATTGGAAGCCAGGTGTGGGCTTCATAGAGCCTGCTCAGTTCTTCAGGCTGTAGCACACATGAATGTTATGAAAAAAAAGCATCCACATAAATGCATTATCATGGGGATATCTGAGTTAAGTATTAGCACAGTGTTTTTCTGTCTAGATCTGCAAAGACTATTTGCTTCTTGTGAAATGTTTTTATGTTTCTCTGAGCATTGTCAAGAGTGCTAGCATTCACCAGGAGCTCAGGAAAAAGACCTAGATTCAAGCGATCAGTGCCTTTATATGAGCAAGTGCTTGCTGATGTCCTCCCTAGGATTTCTTTTATTACTTCTGCAAAGGATCTGCTATATGAATGTATCAACATGAGTTTGTTTTTCTTAAGGCCTATTCTGGATACGGGCCACATGTTTTGCTGCGTGCCCCACATGTATGCCCCATGCATGTATATCTTGAATTCTTGCTGAGACAATAAATACAAAGCATTTGCGAGAAAAATGGGTCATTGTTATAACTCAGGGGTGGGTTTTTTTTTTCAGATTCTGAATGCATGATCGTATGATACAAATTCCTTCCATACTTCCAAGTCAGCAGGCACACACTAGGGCAACAGTGGAGTGCCAGTAGGTATGCATTGGGAGATTAGGCTTTTACTTCTGTCTTTAAGGGGATCAAGACATAACCATATAATTGAACTTCAAAATGGGAAACTGAGACACCTATTCTAATATTTTCTAGTAACTACTGCCTGCAGAATAGTTGGGTGGTGTCAGGGGCTCCATTACCTTTACCAGAGGTGTTGCAGCTTTGAGGAGGAGAGTCCTTGGGGATCAGTGAAGGATAGACATCTAAGCTGAGGGGTTTGTCTCGAATGCAGGCAGAAGGGAATACAGCATTTCGCTAAGGTCAGATTTTGACTTTCTCCAAAGTTTGAAGCTGGAGTTTTGGAAAAGGGGGAAATGATACTGCTTACCACAAGGGAGTAGCAAAGGGATAGTGCAGAGTTTATTCTTCCTCCCTAAAGCTGGGACCCAGATGTGTTTCTGGAGAAGTGAGCCCGAGATCCTCACCTGCTACACCATGCACATCAGCAGGCTTTCCCCTGACTCAACACCCTGCTTCTCCCAGCTTCATGGGCAGGGAGCACCATGCCTGGGGCACCCGTTCCCAGTGCGAGGACAACCAAGAGCTTCGTGGCCAAAGGCTCTGGTTTCTAGTGTGAAAAAAAGCAAAGAGAAGCAATTCCCTGTCCTTTCCCAGTGAGCCACCAGCAGAGGCTTGAAAGAGCTTTTCTTCAGGGGGCATCAGTGAAGATGTCCTGAGAAGGCCCATCAGCGTGGTGCCATGTGCTACCGCAGGTGCTGCGCAGTGCATTTTTGCACAGTTCTACCAGCAAATTACACTCTTAAGACTCATCAGCCTTGTGAAAACACCCAGACACCCTCAGCCACTGCCTGCCGGAGCCTGGCCCTTCTCCAGCCAGGTCACTGCCACGATGCTTGTGACCTGCTCCTCCCTAAAAGGCAGTGGAGAAAAAAAGCCCATCGTTGGGGCACGGCATTGCCGTCTGAAGGCGCATGACTCACCCACCAGCACCTGGTATCAAAAAACAAAACCAAACCCACCTGCTGAAGCGAACTGCTGCAGTTGCTGCCCTGTAGTGCTCTCCATTTACCACGGCCCGTGGGCACCTGCCAGAGCAACAAGTGCAGCCCGGGATCACGTTCGCACTCTGCTCGCCCAGGTGAAAACCAGCCCAGTGCCCTCAGCCAGCTCATGATCTCACACCTGAGAGTGGATGCACAAGTGGTATTTCCTAAACAAATTGCTAAACAACAAACACCACCTTCCTCCTCCCCTCTCCCCCCACAGGATGTTTTTTTAAGTCATCTGAAAAAACAATGTCTCGTATGCAGCTCATTTATTTTTAGCACACGCTGCTGGAAGGGATGAATTTTATCATTTTCCTCCAGTCAACACGAGATGGTGTGAGGGCATGACGTGCATCCATAGAGGTGCAAGGAGGCTTGACAGGAAGGGCTGGGGATATGATGTGTTGTCTTTCAGTCTGGCAGCATTTTCCATGAAGCAGGTGACTGTCTGATGGCAGGACTGCCAGTGAGCAATAGTCCCAAAAGCTGTTACAGCTGTAAACAAGGGTCTTTCTTTACCCAAGTGCGTCACTATATTGTCTGGACGATGGCGTAAGGAACAAGCCACGCCAAGGCTGCCCTCCCTTCTCATGCGTGGTCTCTTCACAATGCAAATCTCACCAGCCTGCAAGCCCTCCGAAACCATGGAGGCAGGTGTCACTTCTTTAGCAACAGGAGATATCCCATGAAATAGCAGGGACCTCAGATAAAACTGTTTCAGCCATTTCATTTTACAGGGGCTTTGGCATCATCCCCTCCTATACAGGAAAGGATGCCAGGAGCACTACTTGGCTCAGCTCCGCCAGCTCCTTCGTTCCACTGCCACTGCTTGAAGAGCCATGGCACCTTCCTGCGGGAGACGATCCAGCTGCAAACATCAAAAGAAACCAGCTACCGTCAGCAACACTGAATAAGGCCAGTGAAGAGGCCTTGCAGCTTCCGTCAGGACACTGGCAGCCCTGTTACCACTGCGACACTGCTGCAGCGCCCACCTGGGGGGTCTCAGAGCAGACGATGGCCCCGGGGATGGTACCCATCACTGGGCTTTTGTGCCTTTGGCGTTTTGCCTGCATTACTATGCTCTGACCAGGTCAAGGTACCATGTTTGCACCTCCTTCCTCTACTCTGGGATCACAGCCACCTTTGCCACCTACTGCGTGGCAGTGATTAAGGGCAGATTACTGCTTGCACCTTCCCCTTTGTGCTTCCGAAAGGGATGTGACTGAGCTGTGACAAAGGCATAAGGCTACATCCAGGTCCCTCCAGGATCAGGAATTAGGGAGGTAATTTTCGA